ATATAATATAATATAATATAATATAATATAATATAATATAATATAATATAATATAATATAATATTATAATATTTAACATAACTGCGGTGTATCTGCAGCTGAAGTTGGTGGAGCCGCCTGGGGCAGATCTTCGATCTCTGCTTTTAGGCTGCGGGCTCAAAGTGAGTTTTATAATTTTTAAATTTAATTTAATTAATTTGTTTTGCTTGCTGGAAGTGCAGTGTGCAGTCATTTTAGGTGTCTGTACAGCTGCACCCCACAGCATTTGCTGCTTTTAGTTTTGTTTTTATTGTTTTTTTTCTCTTTTTTTTCTTAGATTCGCCGCATGCGTCTGTATTCATTTGGCCCGTACTTGAGCTCTTCGGTGCCTCCAGGGATTTTGCTGCCGCTGCGATTGCATCCTGCGCTGCTGCAGCTGCTGCAGCAGCAGCAGCAGCGACCTCGAATGATGTTAGTTCCAGCAGCAGAAGAACTGCAGAATATCGTAGAAGCCACGCAGCAAATGAAGACAGAGAAGGGAGGAGGCTTCCCTGCGCAGCAGCTGCTGAAGGCTACATCTGTTATTGGGTCTTCTATCAAAACAAAACATGGATAGACAAACCGAAAAAGAGAGAATTTGAGGTGTATAGACAGATCGGCATCTTCAAATAGCTTCTTTTTATTATTGTGCATGCATAATAATTATATTAATAGCAGATTTATTTTCTTTTTGTTTGTAATTCGTATGGGGATAATAAACAAAAAGAAAATAAATCTGCACGAGGGTACTCCACTCTTACCTTCTGCTCTTCGTTTTAATTTGATTTTTCTTCTTCTGTTTTTTTTTTCGGTTTGTTTCGCTTGCATGTCGCCCCCTCTGCATGAATAAGGGGCTTACAGAGAAGAAGATTCAGCTAAAAGAAAACCTATCGGAAGAATATTGTGGGTTTTACGGTGTATCCATGTACACCGCAATTTTTATACGTTGATGTTTCTTCTTTCTCTAGCAGGAAGAGCGAAACTTATGTTCGTATGATGAACATTATTTCTGTATTACTACAACTGAATAATGTTTTAAACCTTTATTTTATTTTATGTATTATTTTATTTATTACATTATGCAAATATATATATATTATTTATATAATATATATATAATAAATGTTTAATTAGAGGAGCTGAAGTCTTCCCTGGAATTTGGGGTGCTGGGTCTTCACCCTCGTCCCGCGTTCGATTCCCGGCAGCAGAATTAATAATTAGCGCAGTTTCTTGTTCTTATTAAACAATTTGCATTATGAATATTTGTTCATTAGTTCTACTATTCTAGTGGAGGCACCCGCTTAGGTCTTCTTATACGCCCTTATACGCCTTTTTCTATGTTTGCATTATTATCATTATACGCCATTATTGCATCTCTATACATAAACAAATATATATACATACATATATATATATATGTATACTGTGCGTTGTGTTTAAATTATAGTTGTTATATGCCTATGGCGTTGTTTTCCTTTTTCTGTTTCTTAGCCTTAGTTTTTGCTGCTGTGTGATTTGGGTGTATATCCACTGAACGGAAGAAAAATAAATAAGAAATCAAATTTTCGTTTCGTCTATTTGTTTCAGGAAATTAAAAAATTATTAAAACTTTATATAACTTCATCCCTCATTATATATTCAAATTTACGCTGTACGTACACCGCACGCAACCAAGCGAGGCAGCTGCATGCGAGAATCATCAGCAGCAAAACTCTGTTAGAGCCGCTACTCCACCAACTCGGCACTGCAGCAACAGCTGGCAGCCCCAGCTGCTGCTGCTGCAGCAGCAGCAGCAGCAATGCAGCAATATTCAATGCGTAAGCAGTTTGCGGGTCTTTAAAACTCGCAACCAGAGAGCACGTACAAACAAACAAATACAATAAACCCATCAACAACCTGAGACGCATACACACACACACACACAACAATAGCACCTGCAGCAGCAGCAGCAACAACAGCAGGTGCAGCAGCGGCAGCAGCAAACAACGGCAACAAGCACAGGAGCACCACATCAAGGGCAGCATCATCACCATCAGCAGCAACGCCATCACCAGTAGCTCAGTTAGCAGCAGCAGCAGCACCGCCAGCAGCAGCAGCAACATCACCAAAATCAGCACTGCCAGCAGCAGCAACAGCATCGCCAGCAGCAGCAGCATCATCACCAGTAGCAGCATCAAAAGCAGCACCACCAGCAGCAGTATCATCAGCAACAGCGCCACTACCATCAGCATCTCCAGCAGCAGCAGCAACCGCAGCAGCAACCGCAGCAAATCATCATCAGCAGGAGAGAAGCTGACCGCCAGTCTAAGACTGCGAGCCCTTTGCTGCTGAGAGGCCCCCTCTTTGCAATTCCGAAGCCCCAGAAGGTAACAGCAGCAGACTGAGCAGCAGAGAGGCAGCAGAATTGTGCATGCGGCGGCAGCAGCAACTCCAAGGAGGTGGGCGGCGAAGTTGCTAGCAGCAGCAGGAAGACAGCATGTAA